ATTAACTGTAGATTTGACTACTAAATATCGCTACAACGTATAAACCTAAAAATCGAATGAATCATTTTAAATAATCCTGCGTAATAATATTTTGATTAGGTACCTATAAAATGTAATGAATCATTAATTATGCATATGCCATAGCAGCAATAACCTAATCATCATTAATAATTAAACCTTTATTCTACCTATATGGCTTTATGTAAATACTAGAATAGATGTACAATGTATTTTAGTATTTATACTTCAGTAAAAATCCTAATATAGTAATATAACTAGTATTTAATGTATTTTGTACATATAAGCAATATTTAAATTAAAACTATTGAGTTTACTAGCCATTGAAGTTCGTAGAATTATAGAAATACATAAAATATGTCAAGGATATTAGTATTTAATAGAACATTTAATACATATAAGACAGCCACATATTTAGATACTAGGTACATCAATAGTCGTAATTTATGCCAACGGGTATATGTCGGTATTAATTGTTTGACTTCAAGACTTTCTTTTTGATATGCCATGGTCCATGGCCCTTGGAATATATATATAGTATAATAATATAATGATGATAAATTATTTGCAACAGACTTAAATTATATATTATAAAATATAGATTAATATTATCAAAATAAACAATAATTATAATCACAATATTATATATTGATACTAAATATTTAAATTATTGTAATTCATAATATGAATACTTATATGTATAAAATTCAATAAGATTTTATGAACTTAAATATTCATAGTTGGTCTACCCGATTAAAAAAAATCTTCAAAAATATAGATAATGTTTATAGAAAGTATTTAAATATATTATTGATCTTATTAAAATTCTGTAAAATATAGTTATTTTTAAATTACCTAAGTAATAAAATAATTAATTACAATTTTCTATTATTGTGTGTTAAAAAATATCTAATACAACTATAAATCAATGTAAGTAATTATAATATTAACCATTTAAATTTTTAACATTAACGGATTTTATTTATACTCTTAAAAATAAAATCTATTTTTTGTCTCTCTACACGTGTGTACCTATATATTGGTATAAACTACGGATAACGAATTATTTACAATCTCTATACACTATACAGATACATTTTACTTTTATCAAACTGTTAATAAATTCCATTAGCGATTAGTGTACATTAACATAAACTATTAATTTATAATTCCATTATTTTTACACGACAATTTATTTCTAGTTTTCTAGGTAATATTAAGGGGTGACCACATCTCCATTAGACGAAGACATTTTTTTTTATGATCAGACAGTTAGAGATTATTTATTTACTTTCGATTGTCATAATATCTATTTTTCTAGCCTGGCTCTTCTGTCATACAGCACGGCTTACTACAAGTTATATTACATAACTATGACTAATGATGTACTAGAATCTAAGGTTTGGCGCCACTGAATAAAAAAACTGAGCCATGGAATTCAATAAAGAATAAAAATTTATGATCAGAAATAAATATATACAAACGAAAATACTTGTAACTAAATTGCGTTTTTTTTTCCAATGGTAAAATGATACTTGCCCTCCAAGTAAAACCGGATAAAGACAACTCTGGACTACCTATAATATGCACCTCTATATTATCATTACGAATGTATTAAACATGGTAAGTTTAAATACATCATAACTCAAACTCATATAGTATGTATATAAAAAGATGAAAAATTCGAATTTTTATGTTGTATTTTAATCAACTATATGTACGAGTATAGTAGTCATAAACTTGAGATGTGGTTACGTATGTCATAATTATTTTTACAAATGTATTCTTTCTAATACTTTTTTTCTAGTAAACAACAATAATTAATATTAACATTAATCAAACGATTTAGTCTATCATAGTATACAAATAATGTTATCAAAATTTAAAATGTTTAATATAAGAAAATAGCCTGTTATACTTATTTAAATCATTATTAATTATTATTTTTTTTTCGAAAGAATTTTCAAATTTTTTTAAGAAGGCTGCATAAAATATATTAAATTGTTTTAAAAAAAGTTGAAAGTGGGACGCAAGCAAAGAAAACTCCCGTATAGATACGAAGTTTTTTTTGTCCGTGACTTTTTTATTCTAATACATAGGAAGTTATAGAAGTTATAAACGAGAATATCTTTTATTTATCGTTAGTGTCTCTTAAATATTCCATAAGTTCTATATTTTTAAACGTCTATTCTGTAAAAATATGTTTTTATTTACTAAAAAAAACTCAATGGTGATCATTAATTATTATCAACAAATGACATATTAATATAACATGTACATTTTTAAATGATTACTTGATCATCGATAAAAATCAGTTTAATGCAATACTTAGCACCTGCTATAGGGAAATATAGTGACTAAAACAGAATATATACAAATTAGAATACACATGCTTTGACGTCCTTAAGAATTATCACTTATTAATCTATTTAAAAATACAAAAAATATTTATTTAATATAATTATTATTTTTTTACGGTTAAAATTGTTCATATAATATACTTTATTCAATAAAGTAGGTATACCTATCATATAATTAAATTTTTTACAATTTCATTTAAGGGAAATTATTACGGTATTAACAATAATGTATAATAATGTATTATAGTACATACCTATAGATAAAAACATATTATAAAGTTTATACATTTTGTAAATATTATATGAAAAACGTAGTTAACGATTTAGTTATTCTTTTTTTTTTTTTTTTTTGAAATCGGACGTCACTATATCATAAATTTATAACGTTACTATACCTGAAATAAGTTCATCAAAATGCGCAGAACGAGACAATAATAATATCTTATTGTTTATTTTTATCAAATTAAACGCCAATTGAGCACATATTTTGAATGTATCTACCTATACTTATATAATATTAAATAAGTATAGGTTATATATATAAATGTAATATATATGTATATGTATATATAAGACGATATTGTAAAATATGAATTTGCCGCGGTCGGCAGAAATCGGCTATTTCGCTCACAACGGGGTAGTTTTGTATACGCACATATACCTGTATAATAGTATAATATACATAAAATACAAACATTTTCTGGGTTCACAATCAATTCGTTGTTTAACGCCTATGTGTGCAAAAAACAGGGTGCTTTCACAAATAAAATAATAAATGCATGGTTAAATAATAAAATTGAAGTAAGCATGTTTGGTAAAACACCCTGTACATGTGGATATTAAGCGCGTGTAGAAAATGAAAAAACTGTCTATCGGCATGCACACAGAGCCCCGCACAGCTCGTATTATTATTATTATATATTATATTATGTATACCTTTTTTCATACCGTTCTGACCCGCCACCGACCCATTCCGAATGAGTGGTGAGTATTATATATATTATCTTATTATTATTATTATTATTATGTGTACGGTTCACGATGTATGTGTGTGTGTGTGTGTGTATTGTGCGCGAGGTGGGTGTGTGTATAATATGTGCGCGCAGTTCGGCTCTTCTAGCTACGCGCGCTGTACGTGTCGTAAGAGTATAGTCCGACAGTCCGCCGAGTAAACCACGACGCCGACACGAGGACGTACCTCCAATAAAAATTACGTTTATTCAATATTATATTTTTTATATCTACTATATGCTCGTACTAACCTAACGCCGATTTCAGTGTAGTGATCGACTCAAATATATTTCACATTTTAATACACCATCTCCGTCGTATCTATATCCTCCCGTCGTCGTTTTCGATCTATTTAAATCATAAATCATAATTATTGAATTTTTTTTTTTTTGTTTCTTATTATTTATTTTATTTGAAATACTTGACGGTTTTTTTGTAATTTTTTCGAATAGAACGTTCCGTTTTTTATTTTTAAATACAGATCATTCCTTTTTTCTCCTTCGTGCGAAATGCCTCATTCTCAACGATTATAAAATTGTGATACGAGTATACAACGTTGTAGCTATACAGTGCATCAAGAATATTGGAGATTTGCTGCAGGTACACTATAAATCATTACAACTATTAAATAAAACTTACAACTTTTTTTTCATGTTTATAAGAAATGTGACTCTAGATTTTTCACGCTCAAGAAAATTAAACAAAACGAGCTATACAATACCAATTTAAATTCACTACTAAATAATAATAAAAGATATCAGAAATTTTCATTTGCATAAACCTGACTGAAATTTAATCTACATTAAAAAAAAAACCGTCATCAGCATCTTTTTATATCATTAAAGTGACAGTCAAACCTAATATAGGTTTTTATAACATTGCTTATAACAATTTAAACAAAAACGAATTATTAGAATATTAATTAATGTAATAATATCTTATAAGTGAAATATTAAATATATTTCAAAAATAATTTAAAACTAAACGATACATTGATTATGTATCAAGTAACACGTGTGATGTGTTTGATAAATGTTACCTATAATCACGTATATCGTACTACGATAATTCAGCTTGGAGACTTCATCGATGGTTTTATTTATAACTTTCAAACAAATGTAGTGTTAAAACTCGGCGACTATATATTTATGATATAGCTATAGGCCAAAATAGAAACAAAAATGGTTTTGGTTTTGTTCGATATATTTGGATTGAAGTATCGTGAAGTGGTGAAAGTTTCGATGCTATTATTTCTTAATTACGACGACAAAAATAATTATTAATTAATAAAAGGTATAGAAAAAACTAGGATATATCCTCCGGATACTATAATAAAATAGGTGTAAGTTTACAAGGTGCAGTACATACATAAATAAGTATAACAGTCATCTCGATTTTTTTTACGTCAGCTATTGATTATTGAAAACAACTATTGTGATGATAACATATTAAACGAGACTAAAAATTAGTTTTTCTAATTATAATAATTATACGTATTACCTATGTAATAAATATTATTCATTTCTTCTGGTTACAGACATGCGATTGAGGTGTTTGATGCACACGTGCTACGGCTGCAGTAGTCGGTAGATAGAACACCCCAGAAAAGAATGACACGTCAATTACCGTCATGAACTTTTATTCAGTCGCTGAGCTATTGCCATGGATGTTGTTGCTATTTTCCTCGACCGGCCTCACGACTCCCGTTCCGAACAAGGTGAGCATATCGATTTTCTTCTTTCCACCACGCTCAATAATTCAATACCTATAATCTATATTAAAACAAATCCGTTTCACGTTAACCCAAAGACAATGCAGTAAATAGCAAATTTTAAGAAATCGTAAAGTACAATATTATATTAGTTATAAAAATTTCAGAATTTTAATAAGAATATTTAATGTATTGATACAAAAAAAAAAAATTTTTACCCAAATCTCCGCATCATATTAAGTTAATTATAATCCCCAGTTGAGCAAATATATTATATCTCACTTGGAAGATTTCATTCCAGTTTTATACAATGAAACAACACCCCCAGTTAAATGGTCGTATGTATATATTTTATAACTAGGTTAATTATTATCCACGTCCGTCTTTATGTTTATACTCGACTGTACAGTATTATTGTATTGAATGATTTTTCGAGAAAAAAAGATATACCCTCAAGGATCTCGGTTCACAGGCGGCACATTGTCTGGCACGTCTCAGAATAGTTTTTATGAGGTCGATTATTAGCTGGGCGTGTCTCAAACACCTTTTCATTTATAAGCCCCCGGGTGAAAAAAAACCATATACATATTATATCGGGTATGAGAAAAAAACATTGGTGCCGGTAAGTCTAGGGTTGACTTCACAATACTATCGGCACACCTGGCTCAGAGCGAGTTGTTTATGGAAAGCCATTATTTATTTGTATCGAGTGTTAGGTATATACCTATAGTGCCTATGTACAACTTATCGATGATCTTATAAAATAATTTATACCAAACAAATTTGCGTTTTCTAATAATATTATAATCTCTTATTGGTGGATCTAAATAAATAAAAATAATACTTACATAGATGTATTTAAAATTAATTATATTTTATGAAAATATTTAAATAAAATATAATTTACAAATAACTATAGTATAACTATAGTTAGTTCTCCATTGAATGTATTAACTATGACATTGAAAGCTATAGGTCTCCGACTCTCTAAGGGCTGTTAACTATTTTTAAAAATATAATACCTAGGTATATTATTTTACTTAGAAAATTACGTTAAAAATGAATTACAAAAAAACAATGTTTCTCTATGAGAAATGCATGTCAATAATTCTTTTAATGCAACTAAAATTATCTATTTTTAATATTAGTATTGTCTATATTCTTAGTAATGCGAACAATCTCACTTTCACATGTAATACACAATAATTATCAATCGTATCAATATTAAATAGTACCTATAATAATCGTTCTAGTATAAATACCCTCAAGACTATTAAACAAAACTGTGCGAGTTCGAAATATCCTTGATGAATAAATTTTCCTCCATTTTATCGTATTCAAATACTCATTGTTTTTTTTTTTTTTTTTAATACAACGAATCCTAATTTTAATGTATAAAAATTAAGTAATCTATTATAATATATACGCTAAATAGCTGTACGATTATATTTTAGAACATGTAATATATATAATTATATAATTATCCATAACCGTGTAAGCAGGTATTATATATATACGTATATTATTATCTATTATAACATATAAATATGATGTAAATATTCCCTTGAAGTATATGATATTTATATTAATATGGTACAAGGGTAACGACATATTAGAGGGATGAATTATGGGGGTTAAACGTCCCTTTTTTCAGGACAGTGAACGTGTAATATACCTAGGTACTGATATTTATAAAAATAATTAAAATTCTTTTTTTTTTTTATGTTTATTATTGATAATTTAAATACCATGATCATTGATCACTGAAACCATGAATCAAAACGTAAATATTCCTCAGAACACATACTTCATTCAACTAACGATTGATGACTATAATTTTATGATATAGGTACACAACCATCTATGTATTGAACTCGTCGTACAAAATGAAAAAATACTTGCTTTCATAATATTTTGTCTTCGATAAAAAATATTCTATATTATTAAACAATATATATAGATAATCATAATATACTCGAAAACCAGTTTTCGTCCGAATTCCTGTACAATCGAATCTGTTCGCAGGATGTTATCGTTTTAAATGTTCAACGATTTTGCGGTGCCACACGTATTTGGTATTTCGATCCCTCCCGTCCTGTAATACAACGCACACATTATTATCATTATATTGTGATGAGTGTTCAAATATACTTATATTATAAACGTTTATTGGACGTCGCCGCCGTTCTTCCGTTAACCTTTTTGGTATAGCTGGTAGGTACACAATATAATATTATAATATCATCTTCAGTCTCCACTTTATGGACGTTGGCCACCGCATTATATTATGTGTGTGTAAAACGAAGACGAAATGCGGTGGCGAGTAAAATTACAATGGAAACCTTTGAAAACCTGTGTGTTGTCGTATGTATCACAAACCATAACCTTGAAAAAAAAAATTACAACCATACGCGCGTGCGCGCACACACACATTTATATATATATATTATGTACGTTTATAATATTATTGCGCTCGAAGAGATTATCCAAATCGGTCGAAGATGAAAAAAGAACACGTAATAAATCTTTAATACATATAGGTATACGGTGTATCCAATTCGAATAGTGCATTTATATTGTATAAGTGGACCCAAATAAATCACCACCACAGGAGGAATAAACATCCGTTACGACAGTGAAGCTGCGCTGTATTATAGATATCAAGTATTCTTGCGACTTGGTAAAAAAAAAAAAAAAAGAACCATTTGTTGTATTTTTACATAGTTAAATGTATATATATATACATGCATACATGCATACATGCAAATAATCAAATTATTGACTAATCCAATCCGATTTAAGTAAATATCCTGAACTTTATGTTAGAAAAATGTTTCTTTTATAGTCTCACAATAAAATATTAAATACATTATGTTATACGTAGTTATACTTGTAAAATTATTACGATCAATATTGCACTCTTATAACCAGGGTGTCCATACCTATAGTATCCGATCCCACAATATATAGGATATATATATATATATATATATATATACATATTATACATATTATATAAATAAATAGCCTACAGTGAGCTTATAGGTTTATTGCAGACTTCATAATTTTATTGGTGAAATCGTGTATGCAATTGCAGATATAAACCAAGTCAGACAAGTCTTATGCTTTTCAATTCTGACAGAAACACACCATAATACGCGCGCTCTTGTCCGTATGTCTATATATTTTTTCATTATACGCGTAAAGCTATAATACATATTTATTATTACACGTACCTTATATAAATGTATAATATATAACATCTATATAATATTATATACCTACTGCTTTAGACGAGGATAGTCGTGGCGGCTATCCAATTAATATCATTTAGAGGAGACCGGTTGTCGTAAAATTATCATCTTATATAGAGTTATTAATAAAACACCTATACATTATTTATGAAAGAAAAAACAACACAGTGTTAAAACTGGTTTATTTTTCACAGTTCGCTGATCAGAGACGCACTGCAGCGTATAATATGTCGTGTAAGTAGCAGTTATATATTGTAATACTGCTGCAGTATTATACGCAGATACTGCAATAATTTAAGTGTTCGTTTTATTCTTGTGATAAATCGAAATTTGTTGGTTTGACGTCTGGAACAAAAATTTTGTGTTATTTTCAGAATAAATTAAAATCAGGAAAATGAAAAAAATTATCTAAACGGTCTTCATTGGGTGTTATTATTTTACAAAATATTAAATACTAGTTAATTAAATCAGTAGTTATCAAATTCTCATAAGTTATAATCATATTCCTTAGTTTTTAACATATAATTTTAATTATTAACTTCATTTAAATTATCAACTTTCGAAATGCAAGTACAAAATTATATTAAAACATCAATTTTTTATTATTTAAAAAACGTTTTATAATGTGTAAGGAATAATAATTAATATTAATATAAAATAATATTTTTGCTAAACTATTATATTATTATTATATTTTCCAATTCTCTACGACCTATATTAATAGGTATATAGTTTATATAACAATTAATAGGTATGAAATAATCAAAATACTATTATTTAAAAACAAAATAATATTGATCTGAAAATAAATATTCTAAAATTATGTGAGCGTCGCAACAACCAAAACAATTTATAATGACGTAGTGTCATAGGCTCAACATTTTTATGAAAGGGCAATTAAAACAATTCTTATAGTTCCCTTATCTTCCTGTCATTTAAGTCTATCATTCTGTTTAATGGTAATTATTACCTCTTGAATAATATTAATTCACCAATATAACACATATTATCATAGATTATATAGTTATTTTTTTTCCATATTAAAAAATAATGTTTAATCTATATCAATATCAAAATGAGTAAGTATAGCATAATGAGTATTGAGTAAATATGTTTATGCGATAGACTGCAGATAAGTGAATAAAAATTATGAATAGATTACAGTTTAAAGACAAAAACATTGCATGTAAACAACATGATACTGCATACATGCACGTACCTATATAAATTTTAATAATGGATAGTAAATTCTGGTATTATCAATCAATGGGTATGTACTATATGTCTATATAGGTGTACTAATGTTCTTATTATATGATATACTTATAAACTACGAGTCTTTTTATGTTATGAATATTATCTGAGTAACTGGTGGGTCATGTACTCGTATACAAAAGTGAAAAGACGATTGCCTCAGGAAATTAGTGAAAAAACTAATTAAATGTTTTCCCCGAAAACCCAACTTGCTAACAAAAAAGGTCTTTTGCATTAACACCGAAACCAGTTTTTTCTTTCATGTACGTACATAATTATAACGAGAAAATTATGTCCAACCTACAGTTATGCGTATCGCGTTCTTTTTCCGATTCCCGCTACACCGTCTGTGGCGATCCTGCGATGGCGCCAACAGGCTATGTTAAAAAGTCGAAATGCATTTCAGATAATTTTTTTCTACCCCGTCGTCGTATTGTCGTTTCCCACCCAATGATAAAACTAGTTTCTTAAATCGTTTCTGAGTACATACGTCGTTATATCCGTATTCACAATCGTCGTCGTAAAATAACATTTTTTTCCATCCAATCACTGTCTGTAGTATAATATTACAATATATAAGCACGCAAATAATTTTGTAACATATTTATTGTTAATTAATATATGATATATTGTATTATAAATTAGAATGAAGTACCTACTGTCTATTACATTACTTCATTACTGTGGAAAACGTATAGTACAGCTGATAAAATAAATAACATTGATTTTGTGTATAAATATAACACATTTATTGTATATTATGTAGAAAGTTAAAATAAAATAAATTATTTCACACACCCGTATTATATTGAAAAAAATGAAATGTAAATGTAATGTAATGTAAATCATACATAAATATTACAAATACTACCTACACACCTAATATCATATATATTTATTTACATGTGAACCGATTATGTCTACAGGAATTCGATTGCAAAGGTCGAGTAGAACGGTGTGAGAGGAAAAAGGCAGCCACCAGGAGACCAGTGTGTGGCACAGACAATATTAGCTACCCTAGCAGATGCGCTTTGCTGCGAGTCCGATGCTTTAATGACTCGCTTTTACGTGTCAAACATCGCGGACGATGCAAAGGTAATTTATTGTAACATAATTTTACAATAATATACTATATTATGTGATTTAATTTATACTTACTGCTATTTACCTATTATGATTTATGGCAATGTATTTCGTGGGAATATCATAACACAATAATAATCGTGTGGCGGTTTCTCTTGTAAAATTAAAAAAAAATGTTAATTTGTTTACTATTTGCATTGTTTTTCTCAGTATCTGTAGAACTGAAAATAAAAAAAAAAACTTAATATACGTACATAGATTACAAGCATAGTAATAAATTTGCATACCTCATACAAACATTTTATAATCCTCTGAAATGTACCCATTTTGTTCATACGCGTATATCATATTATATGAGTATTTATTTTGTTATACATACATCCAAACCATGTAGCTATAATACATTTTTATAAACATCATGATGACATGATTATCTTATAGTTTAATGAATGTATTTAATATACATGTGTTAGAATACTAGAATAGTTAGATACATGTGTTTGATATACAACGCTACAGGTTTATATTTAATTTAAAAACAACCACGGAAAAATGTTCACAACCTCGTTCCAAGAGTATCAATATACCTATATGGTTCAATTTCGCGACTAGGTAGAAAATCATGAATCTTCATCTGGCTGAAGAATTGTTTCACCTATGAAGAATGAAACGTGTGAATGATCTGTAAAGTTTGCATATAGTATAACACAATAATTTATCAAAAATATTAAGTCCAAAATGCAAAACTTAACGATACACTCTCAGATATTAATTATTATTAATAATATACTCACAAATATTCAATGTTAATTAAATTTAATGGCTATTGGATGATATTAAATCGAATAAACGCACAATTTCCAAATTGGTGTATTATATCTTATTAGTTGTTTCACATAAATTATTTTCTCATATTTGTGATAAGCTTATCTGTTTTACGAACGTTTTTAGTTTATGAAATCATCTAATTTTCGATTTTATTAACATCATTTGTCAAAAATATCGAATGAAAGTTAGAAGTTCCAATAATTCCCAGCAATACTACAAGATGTCTTAAACATAAGTTTTGTTGTGATCCTACTATAATACAAATTTTTAATATTAAATTTAGTTACCAATAATTTAATCAAAATGGAAAAAAAATTCAATTCAATAATTGAATGTCGTTAATTGATAGCTTCTTTTCTCATCATCTGTCAATTTATTTATATTATATTTTTATTTGTTTCAATATATTTTAACTTTTAAAAATACTAAATTGTTCGTCTGTAAAATTTATACTTGAATTTGATACAGTATTATGGAACCTTAATCAGTTGTATTTAATTAATAAATTAGAAAAGGTCCAGAAAAGTATTTTATGTTTTTACGCTATAAAATTATGGTACCTCATAGTAATTTTTATGAAATTGCTCATTAGCAAATTGTTTAGCTAATTGTTGAAAAAATGTTGTGAGGTTAGTCATAAAGATCAGACGGATAGTACTCGATGTTACTTTTGTTTATAAAGTCTTAAATGGTGATATCGATTACTCAGATTTATTAGAAAAAAAATTGTTCTTACAGTTCACTCTTTCAATTTCAGTCATAGTCTTCCCTTTGTTATACCTCAGGCAAAAAATAAGTTTTTTAGTAGTAGTCCGGTATGTTGCTTACCAAGTATGTGTAATAAATTGATAATTTTTAATTTTTTTTATTCCTGTTCTAAGTCAAAATTTGTATTTTTAATTTGAAAACGATTGTATATTTTCTTCTTTTAGTATGTACTACTTTACTTCCTTACAATTTAATTCAATAATTTTACTTTTCACTTTACTGTACTCATTAGTTATTTATATCGATTTCTCAACAAATATATATTATCATTATATCGTTACAATTTATTTCTTGTACCCATACTACTCCATTATACAGGTATACTATTTGTTCTCATAGGTATGAATCGTATAATTCTTTAAAAAATGAAAAATAATATTAAGATAGGTAATTTAATATATACTACCCATAACTGTAGATAACTACTCGTATGTAATACATCTGAAGACAATATCTCCAACTTTATTATGTAAATCGTGAACGTGCTTTTGAAATGACACGTATACTACTGCTAGAAGAATAAATTAGAAAAATAAGATAAAAATACTATTATAATATTACACCAGTTACATAGCTGTCTACTTATAATATATAATATATTTTAATCAACATTTTTAAAGTCATCAATAAAAATAATTTTATGTAATCATTTTATAGACATGAAATTGTTTTCAAAATATTTTGATACTTATGCTATTTATAGATCGGTTAACATTTAAAAATTCCTTATTTTTTCGATTTTTGTTTGTTAACATTTTGATTTGTATGTAAGATAGGCTTGAAAATGCAATACATTTATTTCTCATAAATTATTTTTACAACAATTAAAAATTCTCGATAATACGAAATACTTATACTTTATCATACCTAATATACTTTAAAATGCTTAATGGATACTAGGTCACTAGGATTATGTACATCAAAGTGATTTACCTAGTTTTTTACTTAAATTAAATCATTCTCAGTTCTTATAATTAAATATTAATAATTTTACATATGTAGTATTTTTAAACTATCGTCAAATATTATACTGTATACAATATATAATACTGTTTTACTATTTAGTCTAGGCTCTAGGTATATAAATATAATTTTTATTATACGTAACAGTAAATCGCAAATAAGTAATATCATTACCTATTTTACTCACCCATGCAGTTAAATTAAAATATTTTTAGATAATTTTAGATATTTTAAAAACGAAATTTCATGTGTTAAAACTATTGAATTTGTACGCAGAAAAGCAGCCTTGTTGGGTGGATCACACTTCGAAATCAGTTGATCCAACTCGAACACCGGACTCGTATATGCCCAGATGCAAAGCAGACGGCACATACTTCCGAATTCAATGCCATCAAAAGGAAGGATATTGTTGGTGTGTAACACCTGCAGGAAAAGTAGTGTCCAACACCATTGTTCGAGGACAAAAGCCTAAATGTGATAACGGCAGAGGTTCGTTTGAAATTATATTTTAGTAACACCTATATGTTTACTTTTGTTTTGTCAAACTCTATTATGTAGTATTATTTTTTGATAGGCAAATGGCGTAGAGGTTCTTTGCAGAAAGGTGGACATTTCAGAAGAGGTAAACACATTTTCAATACATAATTAACATAGATATAATTTTAAAGGGTAGAATATATTAATTATTTCATGTATTAGATAGTATAATGTAAGATATTTAAAAAAATAACATCTAGAATAGAATATAATACGATTGAACCAAACATGCCAATAATCGATAGGTATGAAACCAATAAAAATTAATAATTTTTATATTATTAACATAAATTATATTTGTATTATACACAAATACACAATTATAATAAATAAAAGTTAAAATTTAAATCGATTGCCTTAAATGACAATTTAAGAATTCAAATTTTAATGTTAAAACCTATTAAAAAAATATATTTAAAAAATTTAAATTGAATAGTACGAACATTCAAAATTTTCGCATATTTACTCGTATTAAAGTAGAACGAATACAATTAATAATTATGTACAATAATTATAATATAAACTAACAAACATAGTATTATATAGTATAATATATATACTACAATACTGCCTGTTAAAAACGTATATAGTGTGCTATTATTGATATTTTTTTAAAATTGTATCTAACAAAAATACATATTTACACTAAATATTAAGTTATGACCTAAATTTTTTTTTTTCATTCTTAAACTTCTTAAAAAATATTAAAGATTCTATGCATTGTAATTTTACATAATATTATATAAACAATGTAATTAGGGTTATAAATAAAATTAATTCAGTTATTTAAAAAAAAAAAAAACAATTGTTTAAACGTATTTAATATTAACATACCTGCTCGTGCATTTTACGCATTTAATTAGTTTTCTAAAAGTAAAAATTTAGACATTATCTCTAATCGTATAATTTCAATATTATGTAATAAAATAATGTGCATACCTTTCTTACCTTTCTTCTCCCTTCAAAATAAAATAAAAATCACGTTTTAGAATCTTTACTTCTACATGAATAAATTTAAATGTGATTTTGCTAAGTACATTTTATATCATTATGTATTTGTGTGATACATGGATAGAAAATAATTGTCAGTATATCGTCCAATAACATCTAAGAGTGTCTTATCTATAAACATTCTAGACATTATAAAATATATATACCTAGTATAGATTTTAGGTATACTGTATACATATGAACTTTACAATTATTATAAACAAATTGTTACCGTGTTTTTAGAATGCAGTAAAAACGATAAAGCAATATTTGTCAATAATTTAGTCAGAATATTCAGAACGGAGTACAATCGAGAACAATACGCCGCATTAATAAATGGTATAGTAATCAAAGTTATACTAATTATATAATATATATATATATACTTTTTTTAAATGTATATTATATACACAATATTTTGATTTTGTTAGCCGTTAGGGTTCTTACTATAAATATTTAGTGATATTGTAGATTACTGCATATCATTTACATACTAATCTATCTAACTGACCATAAAGTATATAAATATGTATTCGTTAACTATTAGAGAGACAATTTATAGTTAGTTACCTACGTAATAACTATATATATATATATATATAGATATGAAGATTCCTACTCACCTGTAAGCTATAAATTACAATTTAAAAATAGAAAAGCAAATATCTACTACACTCATCGACCATCGTGTCCATAAAAATTTTTATTTACCAAAAAGTTTACTATTGTTAGTGTTCATTAATATATTAAAATATTAAAATATAATAGTTACCCCAATTTTGTTTATCATTTATATAAATAATATAATAGTATAAAATATCTATGAGATGATTTCAACAAAAAAAGACGAAAAAATGTGATATTTATAGTAATAAATGCATTTTAAGAAAGACTATATATTATACTCTATATAGATGTACTTCCTATATTTCCTATAAATACAATATACTTCTATTATTAGTTCCAATTTTTATAACATAAGTATATTAGGTAATTATTAATTAATAATGAATATTTCATTATTTATACTCATCTATGTTTCTATACATAATAGTAGGTGACCGTTCGCTATTGGACCCGATTATGTTGGACAAACGAGCCGCTGAATGGAAATTCAATACTTTGGACGCAGACAAAAACGAAAGCCTTACTAAAATAGAATACAGGGACCTAAAAAGACTAGTCCGTAAAGTGGTCAGGCCCAAGAGATGTTCCAGGACGTTTATCCGCACCTGCGACGCGGACCATAACAGTTTGATATCAAAAGTCGAATGGGCAAATTGTTTATCGATTGACGGTAAGCCACAATTGACAAAAAATGTAGTACATTACCTATATACTTAGATAATTTAGTAGATTTTTAATTATTTTAACTCAAAATATTATTATTTTTTAAATATTTTTTTCTATATTGATTGAAAATTTGATGTCTTTAAGTACCTATTTGGACAGTTTTGAAAGTGTTACAATTTTGGCAGTCAAGTGATAGTTATTGCGTACAATTTTATTTATTTAAATTTTAAGACATGACCTAAGTTATGAACATTTGAATAAATAATATGTAATATTATATTTTTAAAAAGGTTGAAAGATTTTAGGTTTTAAACTTGAAAGTGTTTATTTTTAAAGATAATCATTTACAAAATACAAAAATTACATTTATAAAAAAATATTTAATTATAATGTAATAAAAAATCATTGTAGTGAAAGTTGCACAATCGCCATGTCTGACTTAGATATAATCAAAAAGTATTTTTTGATTAACTTATTTTTAACTGGTCGTAAAATTAATATTTTATCTCCATACCTATTACAGCGCATTAACTTTAAACTTTTAAGCTAAATATATTGTTCTGAACTATATCTACATTTACAACTCAACGTTCTTAAATTTGACCTAAGTTCAAGTAATTTAAGTTTATTTTTCAACAACTTGGGTATCTATCTTTTCCACAATTATGTTAATCCAACCAAATACATATGCAGTATTATCTATCGGAATGTCGGATTGTATAAATATAATAATTCATAATATATTATTTATTTGTATAAATTATCAGAAACATTGGACAAAAGGTCATCGACAACATCGACTACGACGACCACGACCACGACCACGACTACTACGACTACCACCACAACGACCGAAATTCCCTCGTCGGAAGACTACGAAGACAAAGAAGACGGTGGAATCGGACTTGAGGAAGCCGATCCTGAAGACAGTAAGTACAAATACAATAATATACCTGACTAGTGTCCGTACATATTAGGTAAACATAAACATATTATACATTATATGTTTGATATTTTCGTCGATAACGCAGTACGATAATAATAAAATACTTTTTGTATTCGCAGTACTACAAGAAAGCGTAGCTACGCTTAGTGGTACTCTTCCGGGTTTAATGGCCGAAGGCGACCAAGAGGAAGAGGCTGAAGGTATTTTTGTTCATTGATATAAAATTATTAAAACAATACAACGTATAATAGTATTTATGTATTATACAAAGTATGTCCTCACTTACTATTTACGTTTTACACACTGCAATAAGATTCCTAGTTAAATATCAATTATCAACGGTTGAACACAATTTACCACAATATATTAACTGATGTATAATTATTAGGTATAGATACTCACACTTAGTGATCGAAATGGACGCTGCGGCCACTGCTGCGTCAGACCGAGTACAATCAATACCTAACAATAATAATAATAATAATATTGCAAAATAATTTTAAAAAAATGGGTTTCTAAACACCCACAAAAATATTTTTACAACTTTTCGAATTATTTTGAAACCCGATTGCTCAAATACATAAATCGTACGTTTAAAAAAAAAAAAAAACAAAAATTCATGACATGACGCGGTAAACTTGATTGTTGGGTGTATGTGTACAAAAAACGTAAAATCTCGAACTTCAAAATGCTATAACTTAAAACTAAGTTCGACTGACAAATTCAAGTTGCACTATCATTCTTAACTCATTGATTTATATATGTTTTCGAAAAAAAAAATAAATAAAAGAATTCACTTTGGTTCTAAACTAGAATCGTTCTCTTAAATTAATTTAATTAACTATAACTATACTCTTAAGTCCAACAACGTCAAAGAAAACGAAAATGATAAGTAATGAGTATTACTGATAATAATTACCATTTACCCAGTATCCACCGCGTGTAGAAAGCATATATTTTACGGCAACGTTATGCATATGGTCAGGTTTTCATTAGTTGTGGTACGTTAATCTGATATGTATCCCGCCGCCAAATGACCAATATATAGGTACATGTTACCACGATGTCATCTAAAAGTTCAACAATATGATAATCAATTCTACAATTCACGTGACACGGATAAGTGGTTACCCGGCTTAAGTATTTGTTAACCGTAGACCGCAATAGGTAGGTACGTGCGAGATGGTTAATTTTTAATATTTTTATATAATTATATAGCCTTAGCAACCACAACAAAATGATCCGAGTCTTGGCGTCGGGAATGTATTAACTTACCTACCTAAGCGCTCTGATGTACAGAATTTTCTACCTTAATATATATATATATATATATATAAAGTACCACGTCCACTAATACTGCTATGTCGTTGAGGGTTACAATTTACAATACAATACCACTGATATAAATTAATACTACATTAAATATATTATATCTACGTATCTTAAACATATTACGTATACGATGGTAATCGCCAATCGGCATACTAGACATTATATTTATTTGCTATACAATATACTCACTAAAATCAGTCGGATTAAGACTTGAGAGATTCACTATTTCTCAGGCTATGCTATTACCTTTTATGTACGTAATCCACTGCAATTTTCGAATTAAGAGTTTTGGAAATTTACTTCAAACACAAAATTTTGGCGTATAAAACACTAAACGTTAAAAACAAAAAACAAAACATTTTTCATTCGTGAGCGTGGTGCAGGGCCATTCTTTAGATTTGTTAAACTCAAGGAAAAAACAATTATGAAATCCGTTAAGAAAATAACCTCTAATCTTAACTGACATTCACTAACAAATTGACAAACTTCAGAAAAACTATTTTTTCTTTCAATAGAAGCAGAAAAAGTGTTGTCTTTGAATTACAAAAAGATCTATGGTTTTCTAAAAATATTACGATATGACGTACGTGTACACTACGCGTATATATACCTCGTAAGGTTACGTCCAACCATATTTTCCCCATTATGATGCGATGTAATATGTATGTAAATACCATAGAGACATATGTAGCATATAATATTATAATATAATGTGTATGGTAAATATGCTTGACCACGACAACTATTTGAAATTTACATAATTATTGAATATTAATTAAACCGGTAGGTATACGTATTTTCTTTATTTCTGAGAAATTCTTTCGTTATGTCTCAACTATGAAGCATAAAATTTTAAATAGGTAAATAATATCTAAATAATATAATTTTTTAAACAAAATTCCCTACATTTTTTACGAACGCTAATGGATACTATAAATGATGGACCTTGGTCCTCTAAATACGGTTAGGTAAGTCTTGGAAACGGAAGGAGTTAAAATACCAAGTGTTTTTATCAAAATGTGGTAATATATGAATTATATATGATGGAGGACAAGGGTAATAAATGTTACTAATCGTTTTTGTAAAAAGTTTAAAAATCATGGAAGATATTTGTATGTTTTCTCCATTTTAAAAATATACTGTACAAGTTTGAATCCCTAAACTCCCACCCGCGTCACTACAGATTACAATACTACTGATAACTTAATTAGATGGGTATTTGGCTTCAAATATATTATACATAACACATACATATTTTTACAAATAGGGATAGGCAGGGAGCACCCTCACCTGACTCATTAAAAAATATTAAAAATGAAGAACAATTTCTTTTTTTATCTATTAATCATTACTATCAATATTCTATCGATTAAAATAAAATGAAGTAAAAAAATTAATTGCACGTTAATAAATAAAAATAATTAATTTCTATCACGATATTTTTGATATTTTTATATTCTGAACCAAATCAATTTTTCTTACAGTGGATAAAAATTTAAAATTTAGGTGAATTTGATACTAAGTATTGACTTAGTACTTTTTCAAAAACAATTAGAGATGTAACGGTTTTTTCGGGCTGCAGAGCTCGAAATAGTTTTAAAAATAAAAATGAAACAGAAAACCAGCTACTTATTATTGATTTATTCATAATAATATACATTTAGGATTCATCAAAATAATTTTTAGTACCTATATCAATTAGGCTCGATTTCCAATCGATAAACAAAGTCGTGCGAAATAAAGCAACCTAACCCAGTAACCTTTAATCTAAAGCTATGAATCTATGAGTATTGAAAATATTGTTTTACCTACCTATGAATCTGCTAAATTATATTTAAATAAATAATTTTAAATAGTTTGATAATAGGTACATAAGTACCTACACTATAAAAATTAATTGAATATTGAATCATACAAATTCCACAATCATAATTAGTGAGATTAAGTTTTAAAAAAAATTGCATACATAATATAATAAACATACTTTATAGGTAGTATTATATTATATACAATTTACATGTACATATGTATAATTTATATTTTATTTATGTGCTCACATTAAATTTGTTTTTCAGTTAATGATTGTTTAATGGACAGACAGGAAGCATTAGATGATCCATCCACTTCATCCCATAAGTACATACCAGAATGTACAACAGATGGAAGATATAAACGTATTCAGTGTTACAAATCAGTTGGTAAGTACATTAGACTTGATAGAGTTATCGGAAGTTAAAATGTTGTATTTCATTTTTGAGTGGAATTGTTTTTAATTCAGGTTATTGTTGGTGCGTACAAGAAGACACCGGAAAACCAATACCAGGAACCTCGGTGAAAGATTCTAATCCAAAATGTGATGGTATTCCCTTACTTTCTCGGCCAATGAAAGGCTGCCCCGAACATAAAAAACATATTTTTTTAAAAGATCTCATGGATTACCTAAAACAAAAACACAGGTTTATAACACACAAATAACGTTTAATTTCGTGTGACTGAGACATAATTATTGTGAATTTATTATTATTACAGTAAAAACAACACGTCATTTTCTATTGACTATGAATCGATAATCTCAGACATTTTTCATTCTCTGGACACAAATCACAATAAAGTAAGTAGATTGGTTTACGTTAGCAATACGTTTTCCGTTGATACGTAATATTTTAATAATATTTATACTCTTATGTATCATGTTTGAAAATAAAAGGTGTTGGAACGCAAAGAATGGAAAAGTTTTCGCGAAGAAATGGCAGCCAACAACAAACTAAAAAGATGTGGAAAAAAGATGCCTCGGCATTGTGATGTAAACCATGATAATAAAATTGGTTTTACAGAATGGCTGAACTGTTTAAATGTTAACCATGTTCAGACTCAAACACAGCCCAATGGTATATTTTTAAATAAATAATAATGTCGCCAAACACATGTTTAAAAAGTTCGTATTTTTTTTCAGAATCTAGCACAACAATAATTGCTAAAAGAAGAGGTCCTAATCCACTTGAATCATATCTGAAGGGTGATGACTGATGACTAAACCATATAGAGGACAGTATTGTTCTGAAATAAATAAAAATCAATAAAATACAGCAAAATTAATTTTTATTAAGACTGTAAATTATGATTTAACAGCTTTATCATAATATTACTATTATATTACATATATAACATATGTACTGTATATTATATAAACTTTATTTTTCTGAAAATACTATATTGCTTTTTTAATATTATAATATATATATATGTAAACTTTTATTTTTATTTTTATTTAACTAATTTATAATAAAATAAAAGTTTTATTATTAATTGGTTCAAAAAATATTTGAATTTATTTTCATACTTAAAAATAATAAAACTATCATTATAATAATTAGAGAATATAGTATTATGAATGTTAAAATAATAAAATAATATAATATGAATGTCAAAAAAATAAGATAAGTAGTGTTAAAAAGTTTGAAAAGTTTTTATAATATTTATATTAAAAATTAAAATATAAGGCCCAATTGAGTCATATATCTAAACATTATATCACAGATTATACAAAATCAAAATTTTATGAATTGTATTAAACAAATTGTTAGCTTTGGCTTAGGATTTTAAAGCTTAAGTAACTTTACATACTGGATTAAAGCTTTGACTCGTTGATTAAAATAAAACTATCACACTTTAGCTTACTTACAATACAAACAAAAGAAGAAAACAAGTATAAAAATAAATATAATATGATTATTTGTTCTATAAATAAACTTAAATAATAAGTGAGCTATAAGTTCCTGTTAGTAGGGATTCTGTCGATGTTTTAACCAGAAATATACAAGTATTATTAATAAATAGCTTAGCAATTATAACTAATGAGCTGTTGACAATTTGCTCCAATCGTTGTCTGAAAAAAATAAAAAAATAAATTTAATTAATTAAGAATTAAGCAGTTGTTAAAATATTTTATATACATTTAAGATAATAAATATATTTTTAACATCTTAGAAAAATAAAAATAAATTCATTTTAAACCATACAACAATAATTATATTATTATGATAAAATATTTAACCTACATAAAAAATGTATTAATATTTTATGTACAATATGATTACTACAATTCTTAATAGATCTGAAAGTGTAAATTCATAAAATTAAAAAGTTTCAGAATGGATTAATAATGTAAGAAACATAAAATAAAAATAATTGTAAATTGTGTACAATTGTTATGCAATTTAATCTATTGCTTATAACAATACTACCAATAAATAATTCAGATAATGTTTTTAATATTCTATAAACATACATAATATATACAGTACAATTATTTTACCAAAGAACATTCATTAATGTTTTTTTTAAATATTTTTTATGTTTTTTACTTTTTTGAATAACAATATACATTTTTATTTCATATTCTGAAGCAGGTTAATTTTTCAGAGTATTTGGGTACATAGAAATTGATATTTTAACAAGTAGTTTATAAATTAAAAATATTTAAAGTTTAGGTGAGCGGAGTGAAGTTATATAAGGATACTAAGGTGCCACTCAACTATGTAGACTACAAAAAAATTTAATTTTTATTATCTTACTTTATATTGATTTATATACCAATTAATAACTCTAATAAAAATATAATTTAGTTTATCACATATTTCGAGGTCGCTCAAGCATATCAAAATCTTGTACCTATATAATTAGGTACTTTTCAAGATAAAATTGATTATCTACATTTTTATTGTTAAACTCGGTTATTATTTGTCCATACATTAGATATAAACTATTAAATTGTAGATGCTTATGTCAGCTTACTAGCATTCATATGCTAGAGAGTTACATTTTAATTTTTTATTATTAAAGTAAAGTTAAATTTCTGTATTTTTTTTTTTTTTTTTTGAGAAGAACAATCTTAAAGATGCACTGAGTAACCAATAGAACCTAATGGTAAGATAATATATGTATGAAAAAAAATTATAAAAAAAAATTGAATGCGCCCAAGGATACCTTTCAAAATTTCGACATACCACTTCTCTTACCAAAATTTTGAATATTTATAACTCATAAACTACTCTAATTTTCAATTTTTATGTATTCTATTATTAAATATTATTTAAATATTCTATTTCATAATATGAAATTTATAATGTTAACTAAAAAAAGTAATAGCTTAAAAAATTACAAAAATAAAAAATATTAAAAATGTTGCTTTAATTTAATTGGAAATTATGCAAACATTTTTTCACAAACATTAATAGATTTTGAAATAATGAGTGTTGTTTAATAAAATAATCACTCAGTAAATAAAATAATAATTATTTTTAACTTATTAATAGGCAATTACTTTTTAACTCGGACCAAGTATCATAATTTTTAACGTAATAATGATCATGTTTTTAATGGAAAATTTTGTTGAGATTACTAATATGTAAAAAACATTAATATCAATAGATAAAACATAAATTAAGACAATATTATTTGCAAAAATGTTATTTGTTATAAACCAACTAAAACAATTTAATTTAATCATTAATGAAAGCTGAATTAAGATCCAAATTTTAAAAACTGATTTTAGTAATGATATTAAAATATGTATTTAAAATTATCATACAGTATAAAATTAAATTACAGCCTATAAGTACTGCTATTCAATTAAAGATTATAAACATGATTGTATTTATAACATATAATTATGACTTTAGACATATGTTTTATTATATATGGATATCACAAATCATATACTGAAATACTGATATATGTTAACATAAAAATTAAGTTAGCTTACCATATAAAATGTTTGATGTACATAGCGTTGTATATTTAAGTCGGTTGGTTTGATGGTTATCATGGATATTTTAAGGATCAGAACTATGTTTAATACATTTTTAAATTAATATTTACACTACTCTATAATATACATACATGCTACCAAACCATACCATACCATCAAGTGAAATATACCTGCTTGAATGTTATGTGTTCAAATAAAATTATAAAATATAATATTACATATAAATATATTTAAAATACTTTAATTTTACATTGAACTTTTATCTACTGACAATTTAGTTATAAGTATCTTTTTTTTATTTTTATTTAAGAACAGAGTTTAAAAACTCTCTAGAGGAGGATATATACTACTTATCATTAGTACTATCAAAATCCTTTCTTGTGTCTTATGTTCCAAAGTGGTTTCCTATATGCAGGCCATCATCCAAGAATATACCTCAGATTTAACTAATATTTTTAACTAAAGAAAATTTTTAATTTACATAAATATTTATTTTTATTATTATTGTTTCATAATATTGATGTACGAAATTAAATTTTTAACCAAATATACAATTTTAAGATAATTATATTCTATAACTTTGTGTTGAATCATTAATAATTAATGATATTTATTACACACATATTTATGTATATAATAAGTACTGTTATGGCTTTGTAGATTTTGATCAACTATTTACTCCAAATAAAAAAATTATCTCATATTTTTGACAATATTTGGCTATAGGTATAATTAAAATAACTGGAAAGTATTTAGTATGTATTTATATATCTTTCAAAATCATAAACAATAATTTGAATACCTATCACCTTAAATTATTAGAATTTCAAAAAGTGGCATTCAAACAGACAACTTTCTCATTATGTCATCCATTGAATAAAAATGATCAAATTTTGTTCTAAAAGAAATATTAGCAGAATAAAATTACTTGAACAGAGAAAAATTAATAGCCGAGATTAAACAAATAAATTTTAAATTCAATAACTACCGTGAGGATATTGAAAAATAAACAATTCTATGTACATTATTCCTGATAAATAATAAAATATTATAATGCAAACAATATTTTTAATAAACAATGATTAATAATCTAACATAAGAATGAATGAGCTTTGAAGAATAAAAATCAGAAATAATTAATTAAATTTGTTATTAAACAATGTCTTTTAAGTTCAGTAATAATATTCTTAATTTATAAATAATACACATTATATTATTATTAAATAAAATAATAATATTAATATTATAAGTTCAGTCAAATATATTGGTTTTAGTAGAAGTAATGATAATAATTATATAAAATCATTTTTAAATTATAGTAATTTATTGTTAAAAATAGTTAATAGTTAATTTATTAATAAATTGAACCATTTAAATTAATTTTTTAATAGAAAGCAAAGTACAACATTCATTAATAATACTGTGGCTTACAATGATTAAACAATCGAAAGTATAAAACAAAATTAAAGATACTCAACAAACATACTAACTTTTTGGTTTCTATACATAATGTATAAATCTAAAAAGTGAAATATAACTAACAATTCTTTTTTTATTATCTTATTAAATTCTATGCATGTATATTGTTATTAATAATATAAAAACAATATCATGACTAAATCTATGATAAATTTACTTTAATATAGCATATAGTGAATGTACATGTACAAAATATTGGAAGATTCAATACATCACATACATGATTTGGTTCATTTAATTTAAATATTATACCATTATTGTTAATGAGTAGATAAGATAAAGTAAAACAGTATTCAAATTTAAAAAACATTTGTTCTAATTTTGATAAAATAAATATTAATTATATTTGAAAAAGAATGTTGTTTTAGTTAAAGTATTTTAATAATTATCTTTAATATAGCATTAGTGTTACCTTTATAACAAAAACAACTTTTTGATTTTAATTAATATATTATTTAGTTAGGTAACTAAAATATTAATTGATTTAGGAAGTAAGTAAATTGAAGTAATAGAATACTATCAAGACATATATGGGGAATAATTTTGTAAGAACATGATTTGTGCGATGAGTGCTGGCCAAACAATTTGAATCAGAGCCAAACTCTGTAATTTTATAAAATGATGCTTGATCAAAATCTTTTTAAAAACATCATTCTATCTATAATAATATAATATCAAAAAATATTTAAAACAAGCAATTTTGAATTGTAATTACCATTTGGACTGATTGTCTCACACCTTGCAAGATTATCTTCTATTTCTAATTCTTGTGCTTGTAATCCTAATTCACGTTCTTCTCTTCTCAATCGATTGACTTCACTCATCAGTTCACAATAACTATGCAAAAGAGAGGGTTCATCTTCATTTTTTTCACCTCC